ACAACTACTGAGGGACCTTCCTGGGAGCTGGGGTCAGAAGCTGGTGGCCACAGATGTTAGGACAGCAGAAGTGCTCCATCCCGAATGACTCAAAACTACTGCGTCTTTGCTGGAAATGCCACAGGGAGCCATCTTCCAGAAAGTGTTAGTGATGGAGAGGAAGGGGTAAGGGAAGGTGGTTCCAGGAGCAGATGAGGAGGTGAGAGGCCGCAGTGATCCACAACCACGTCCCTGGGGGATGAAGCCACTGGATGCTCCACATGAGAGGAGAGAAGGCAGGTCCCAACCCTCCTGCCCCCAGAGGGCCCTTCTCAGTCAGCTTGAGCCACCATAATGCGACACCTTGCCCAGGTGTTTAAACAACAGACAGGTATTCCTCACAGGTCTGGAGCCTGAGGTCCAAGGTCAGGGCAACAGCAGATTCGGTTTCTGGTGAAAGCTCCTTTCCTGGCTTACAGACAGGGAGAGCCCTCTGGTGACTCTTCTCAGACGGGCACTAATCCTGTGGGGTCGGGTCCACCGCAGGGCCAGATTAAACCTTAATACTCCTAGAGACATCTCCAAACACAGCCACATGGGGGTAAGGGCCTGTGAGTGCATTTGTGGGGGTGCAAACATCCAGTCTGTGACAGGGCTCTTCAAGAGAAGGGTAACTCTCGTGACAGCTAAAAACAGGTACAATGCAGCTAAGCAACCACAAATGCCCCAGTCGTGGGTCACAAGCCCATCAAGAAGCACTGCCCTCCTGACATGCTTCCCAGCCATTGGAGGCTCTGGGGACACACCCTCCCACCAGGAGAGCAGGGACCCAGATCCACCCCTGCAGGGCTCCACAGTGTGTGTGCGGAATCGGACCCCACAGGCTGAGCACAGAGAACACAGAGGGATGGGAGGCCCGGACACGATCCACGGGCAGCCCTGTTCCAGGGTGAGAAATCTCCACGTTCCCACAGAGCCCAAACTGCTTTTCCATTTCCCGTTCCCCCTGGGTTTTGTTCATTGACACTGTTCCCCTCTCTGACACTTCTCTCCACAGCATCAGGAGCCCCGACTGATGCTCCCGTCTGCAGGACTCACAGGGTGGACGCAGCGGGCGGACCTCGGGCTCTTCGTCACCTGTAAGCAGTGTTTCTCCACCACAGGTGCTTATCCCTCTGGCCAGTGAGTCTCCCAGAGGAGCCCACTCTGCAGAGCTTCTGCCTGGGGAAAGGGGCCCTGACTGACCACTGGGCTTAAGTGAGGGGGTGCTGGGGCTTTTTGGACCCCCACATCCTGGGGGAACCAGCTTTGCTCCGGCCCCACCTCAAGGGTCCTTTATGCTTCTCCTCTTGCCCCACCTTCTCCCCTTTTGTCAGCCCTCAATTTCCTATTTTGCGAACAGTGAAATTCACAGTCGTGGAAAATCCCACTCTTGTGTTGGAGCAGAGCGGTTGCTAACAGAAGCACTGGGCATTGCCTATGTAAAATCCAGGTAAACAAAATTTCAAAAACCCTGCGGCTTTCAAAAATCCGCAAAAGCCAACACTGAAGTAAACATTACAGGCAAATTTTGAGGCCTTATTACCCTTTGAGGCTGAAATTTTCTAGGTCACATCCTTCCCAAAGGTAACATTTTATGGAAGCTTTAATGAAATTAGCTCATCTATTTCTGAGTCAGGAAGCGCAGATTAAGATCCAATTTTTGTAGCCTGACTTTTTTCTAACTGCACAGTGGAAACGAATCCAGGAAAGTTTTGAGAATTTCCTCTAAAATGTACAGCTTGAGGGGGATCACAAACTTCAGAATCTCTGGTAGAAAAGGCATTGTGGAGAAATCAAGTTTGTTGGACCCTCACCGTGACAGTCGCCATGTAGCTGTGAGCTTTGACTGACGGGCCGGCCGCAGGACCTCGAGTTGCCTCTAAAGGCTGACATGAAGGGCGTCCGCTCGCACCAGCGGGAGGCGTGGGGTAGCACCTGGTTAAGAAGAGCTAGGCATTCAGGTCGATACTAGGACAGTGGCCTGAACTCTTGGAAACAGTAGATCGGAGCCTTTCTGAGAACACCAAACCTGGCCTGGCCAGGTACAGCTCGATCCCTCCGGAGAAGAAGTGACCCCGTCCCCTCCCAACCGCCCAGCCAGGAGGTCAGCTGGGCAAGGGTGTGTCCGTAGGAGGAGGTGAACCACCAACCCCACCCAGGACAGCCCCAAACCTAGCCCAAGCTGTCCAAACGGGCTCAGTGGAAGCTGGGCATCCAGAACAGAAGTGCTTCACGAAGCCAAGTCTGGGAACCACGCCTTCGATGAGTCCTGGCACCCACTCCACGGTTCTCCACCACACTGCACGACTTTCTCAACTTCATCACATCACAAACCTCCTGAGAGAGCACCCCTGTGCTACACAGCTCCTAAAATGTTCCAAGTCATCCCAGTAAACCGACCTCAACACCACTGGGGCTCAGAGTGACCACCAAATAGCCCCAGTCATGGGGATGGGGCCTCCCTGAGGGGACACAAGGAGGGGTCCATGAGAGGTCTGTGCAGTGCCCCCATCCCAGTGCAGAAACCTGGGCACAGCCCCTAGTTTCCTTGAAGCCCCCAAGGACCCAGTCATCAGCACTGAGCCCACAGTTAGCCGGGAACGATACAGCCTCAGCCCCACTGGCCGGGTGACTACTGATTTTTAATTTAAAAAAGTAATTCAAAACCCCTGAGATGTTACTCTCAGCTTCTGCTCAGAACACAAGCTGGGAAGAACACTGTCCCACCTTTCAACAAAGTGTGGTACCATCTTCTGATCTGTGGGTTTTCTTGGCCCATCAGACACCCAAGGTTGAGGGCAACCAAGAACACAAATCTAAGATACCGGAGCTTCAAGAGAGAGTCATGAGCCAGACGTGTGGACACTGGGAAAGAGAATGCAGACAACACTCAGACGCGGTGATGAACGTGACCGGCGAGAGGACACAGAAGCCTGTGGTTATGGAGGTTGGGGGACAGGAATCTGCACTACATACAGCTGCCCACAGAGGAAAGAGAGCCATGAGAGGGTCCTGGTGGAGGCCAGGGGAGGGCACCAAGCCCTGTCCCCCGAGGGCCTGGGGATCCCCAGTGCTGCTGGGGAAGGAGCACAGAATCCCTCTGTCCCTGGGGAAGGGGCCCCGACCTAGGAGGCTCCACCTGAGACACAGGACCTGGGCAGCAAGGAGCCAAACCCTTAGAGAGCCTGGGGTAGAGGACTGCCTCAGCACAGCCCACAGACAGCACCTGCCCCTCACCTCCTCTGGGAAGCCCACCAGCCCACAAGACCCTCCTGGCGACCTCCACTGAGGGCCACCCCACCCCATGGCACCCACCATTCTCTGCCACCCTCCAGACTACTTTTTTGCCGCCAGCCATGGACGTCTGGGTGATGGACACCTGGATGGCACCCTTTTAACCCAAAGAAAAAGTGGGTGGTTTAGTGAGGAGGACTGACCTGGGCTGAGTCCTGAGTGAACTCCAGGCTCGGGCTGCAAAATCCCACAGGCCCGGTCGGGGACGGAAGACGCAGGTAGCATGGGGAGGCATGGGGGCACGGGGGAATAGGGATGCCCTAGAGGGGTCCTGGGCATGGCCGATGCCTTGGCTACCAGCCCCCAGGACCAAGCCTGGCTCAACAGATCCGATGGCCATATAGCCTAGTGTGCTCAGCCTCCCACTGAGGGCAGGCGACCTTTACATCATGGCTTGGGACGAGCCTGGACTACCCACAGGGGTCCACGCCCCAGAGCAGAGTGAGGACATACATGGGTGGGCTCCTAGGGTTCTGGGATATGGGATGGAGGTTGAAAGGAAACCCCATGTAGAGCCTTCACACACAGAGCAGGCTCTCCGAGGCCAGCAGTGGTCAAAGGATCTAGGATTCCCACTCCGTAAGAGAAATGGAGGCCAAAGTGGGGGGTTCTTTGGATGGGCCAGTCGGTGAGGTGCCCAGCTGGAGTATCCACTGGGCAGAGTTGTCCACAGGCCCCTCATCTTCCCTCACAATGGGCTCTCTGGAGGAAGTCGGGGTTGGGGGATGGCTGAGTCCTCGGGAAAACCACCCTCCCTCTCCTGCGGGGCTGGAGAAGGCCAGCAACACGCACTGGCTGAGTCACACCTCAGGCACATTTGGATTTACAAGGAGCCCAGGCCTGGCCAGTCATCTCAGTGCAAACTGCTCCCACCAGTGTGGGAGGTGGGACAGACCTGGGTTCACATCGCCCCAGGGCCTCAGCCCTGGCCCACTGTCCTCACTGCAGCCCCAGCATTTTGTTCAGCAACGTGAAGAAGATGTGCAGAATTTGACCCCCAAAGCCTTCAGGCAAAGCATGGACTCTGCTGTTGGCCGCAGCCCCCACCACTCCCTGGTGGCCATACCTGCCCCTTTACACGTTCATTTTACTCACTCCCAAAGACATGTAGTAAGTCATGATTTTCTAAGAAGTTCAGACTTAATTCAAGATGATGGCAACAGTCACAGGCTCTGAAATAGGGTGGTGACAGTCACATTTCTTTCCCCCCAGGAGCTGAGCCAGGCCACAGAGAGAATAAGCCTGGCCCAGAGCATCAGATGTAGGGCAGCACCCACCCACAGCTACTGTGAGGGTTCGACATGCCAGGGACTCCTTGTGCAGAGGGTGCCTGGCTGGGTCACAGCATCCCCAGGACAGGCAAAGCAACAACACGGAAGGTAGGTCGCTCAGCAGTTAGGCTAGCTAATGGGGGAACATGGCCTCCGGAGCTCAGCCCCATCCTGCTCCCCCACGAAGCAGACCTGCCTGGTCCTCTGAAGCCCTGAGGCTGTGCGCAAGCCAACCTGCCCCTCCCACAGAGCCTCTCTGGTTCACCAGCATTCAGGGACTGCTCCTCTAAGTGACCCCCAAAGACAGGGGGTGCAAACCAGCCCCCCAGCAAAGTAGGGTGAGACCCAGGTGAGACCGCGGTGGGCACCGGAGACACCCAGCCGGGCGCACCTGGGCACAGGGGAGGGTCCTACCTTGGAAGAAGCTCTTCACCCTGAGGTAGCTGACGCTGAGACGCAGGACAGAGAGCTTGTCTAGCTTGGACACGATGTCGGGAGGAAGCGGCAGCAGGCTGGCCAGGTGGTCCAGCTCGGCATTGAGGCGGTCCCGGTGCCTCTTGGAAGGGTTTGACTTCTCGGCCCCCGTGGCGGGCCTCCTGCAGGGAAGCAGCCACAGTCAGACTCGGGGCTCCCCACCAGTGTCCGTAACCGCATGGGCTGCAAACCCATCCCCAGAAGTGACCTTATGGTGCGATCAGCTTCTAAATGAAAAAGGTGTTGAGAAGGACAAAAGTCTCTTGATCCTGGGATGCAGGGTGGCTCAGTGGGTTAATCTTCTGCCTTCGGCTCAGGTCATGATCCCAGGGTCCTGGGATCGAGTCCCGCATCGGGCTCCCTGCTCCGCAGGAGGCCTGCTTCTCCCTCTGTCTGCCGCTCCCCCTGCTTTGTGCTTGCTCTCTCTCTAATAAATAAATAAAATCTTAAAAAAGAAAAAAGTCTCCTGATCCTGGGCACACAAGGAAGCAGGGACCCCATTACCAGGAAGGGCACTCAGAGACAGACAGCAGGCCTCTTGGGAACACGGCTGTGAGCAAGCTGTGTGGCTCCAGCACATTTCTTGACCTCTCTGTGCTAACTTCCCCCCCTCAGCCTGTTTCAGGCTTTTTTTAAACAGACGACCTTTTCAGGACCTGCGGTATAGGTGTGACTGGCCTCTCTGGGCTCAGTTTCTCCCCTACACAGTGGGGCTGAAAGGGGCCAAGGAAAGAGTAATAATGGAGGACCCTTGGGTGCTTGGGCACCGTCGTGCCCGCCCCTCGGAGGCCCTGAGGTAATGGGCTGTGCCACTGAGGGAGCTGGAGCCCTGGGTCCCGTCTCCCCTTGCTCCACAACAGACCAGCTCTCCCCCACAAGGGGGATCCCCCGGCCCAGGGCTTCCCTGTCCACCATCCCTGCACAGAGCAGAGCTGACCCCAGACCCCAGCTGCTTCCCAGTGACCTCCCTCATCTGACTCTCTGAGCCCCCAGGATGACCGTCCCCTTCCTCTGACCTTATGTCCCCCTCACAGAAGCAGCTCCTTACAGGCCCTTCCTAAAGGTCACCCACATAAAAGCATCTGAAGCTAAAATGAGTCGGGGGAGGAGGCCGTTGGCAAGCTTGGCAATGGTGTGGCCTGGCTCCCAGGGCCAACCCTCCCTGGGGTCACGGTGCCTGGCAGGCGGGAGGGCTCCTGCTGTTTTTAGGGGCTGGGGTCTCTTCCATCCAGAAGCTCCTGTCACTTACAAGGCTGGTGAGGTCGAACAGTCTGTCTGTGAGAAGGAGGTGCACAGCACAAATCTTTATTGCAGAGTCTGAGGGCCCAGGCCACAGAAAACACACGAAAGCCTGCTGCTCCAGTCCCTGAGGCCACATCTTTGTCTCTCTTTGTTTTGGGGATGCTTTTTTTTTTGAGGTATAATTCACATAACACTATTTCAAAATGTACATTCACAGGGCTGTGTAACCACATCTCTATCAAGTTCCCAACCGTCTCATCACCCCAAATAAAACCCTATACCCATTTATCAGTCTCTCCCTGTTTTCCCCTCCACCAGCCCCTGGCAACCACAAGCGGCCTTACGTCTCCATGGATTAGCTGTTCTAGACATTTCATGCACCTGGAATCCCACAATGTGAGACTTTTTGCGTCTGGCTTCTTCCACGTAACATCATGTTTTCAGGATCCACCTGTGGTGTAGCCCTGGTCAGGACAAGGTTCCTTTTCCCAGGCGTGTGGACAGACCACACTGTGCCCCGCTGTTCCCCAGAGGACAGGCATCTGGGCATTGTGCAGAATGCTGCAGCAAACACTCAAGCTAAGACTTTGTGCGAACCTCACTTCCAGTTCTCTCGGGGACATGCCCAGGAGTGGGCAGCTGGGCCAGTGTGCTCACCCCATTCCACTCTCAGAGGAGCTGCCAGACCGTGCGCCCGCCAACGCCCCCACTGGCAAGACGGAGGGTTCCGTGGTCCACATCCTCGACGACACATTATTTTCCTTTTCCCATAGAACAGCCGTTTGCACAGGAGGGAAGTGGCACCTCACTGTGGTTTGGTCTGTATTTCCTTAATGACCAAAAATGTTGAGCATCTTTTCGCAAGTGTCTTCTTTGGAGAAATGTCTACCCAAGTCGTTGCCCATTTTTTCATGGGGTTATTATTTGTCATTTTAATGTTGAGTTACAGGAGTCCTTTATATTGTAGATACAAGTCCTCTACCAGGTATGCTATTTACAAATATTTTGCCCATGTCTTTGATTGTCTTTTCACTTTCTGCTGGTTTTCTTCCTTAACAAGGCACTTGCCCCCAAACCACTCCTGTTACTAGCCAAAATGTAAACTGGCAGAAGGCCTGGGGACAAACTGAGTGACTCCAGTGGGGCTGGCGCATGCTAGCAGGAGGAGAGTCCCCCCCGCCCCAGCCCGTCAGTGAGACACCCAAGGTCTTCCCAGAGACAGGGCACTACCCAGGGCAGGTGTGGGGGTCAGAGAAGGGGAGACAGTGGGAGACAGGCAGATGGCCCCAGCTGAAGTCTCACCTCTGTGTAGGGTTGGGGGGAGCTGCCACCTGCCTCCCCTGACAGCCTGTGCCTGAGAATGAGCTGAGCGGTGACTGTTCCCCACCCCTACCCCAACTCCCACGGGGCGCCTGGGGGAGGGACACTAGCCTGCTGGAGAGATGGATGTTGGAAGAGCCCCTTCAAAATGTCTCACAGCACCAGCTGCCCCCTGATGTATCTCTACCACCCCTCTCCCCAGCCCCATGGGACAGAGCGGGAACCATCCTACCCCATGCCCTCATGCGGGGGAAGCACCCCACCAAGCTGGCCTCACGTGGGGTCGAGGAAGCTCCAAGTCCCTGGGCAGAGACTCAGCAGGAGGGGATGGGGGACGAGAGACCAGGGCCATTAGCAGTGCAGGAAGGCTGGCTCAGACAGAAGCAAAATACAGAATACCTGGAGAAAACCAGGCAATGCTCCCCCAAACTGACCTACAGGACAGTCAATGTAATCGCAATTAAAATGCCAGCAGGACTTTTTACAGAAACTGACACGCTGATTCTAAAATGTACATGGAAATACAAAGGACCAAGAGTAGGCAATTAAAGAAGAACAAAATTAGAGGATGTATCCTTTTGATTTTAAGCTTTCTATAAATCCACAACATTCAAGATGGTTTGGTATTACAGGAAAGATAGAAGTCTACAACAAAGGAACAGAGTAGGCAATCTAGAAACAAACCCACATTTTTGGCCAACTCATTTGACAAAGATATTATGGCAGTTCAACAGGGAAAGAAAGTCAACTGGACACCATGAAAACAAGTGAACACCAGCTCTCACCTCACACAAGCCCCCAAAATTAACTCAAAGTGGATCACAGACCTAATCTACAGTCTACTCTAAAACTTTAGAGGAAAATACAAGAGAAAATCTTTGGGACCTTGGGATAGTCCCAGGACACTTAGAAGACACACCCACACTCAAAATCATAAAAAAAAATTGATAAATTGATCTTCATCAATATTTTTAAATGTCTTTTGAAAATCACCATTAAGAAAATGAAAAGGGGGCCCCTGGATAGCTCAGTCAGTGGAATGTGCAAGTTTTGATCTCAAAGCTGTGAGCTGGAGCCCCACATTGGGCGTAGAGATTACTTAATTACTTAAAAAAAAAAAAAGACAACAAAATGATAAATAAAGTTCAGGGTTGGGGGACAGTGTCCATAAGAGCTTATATCCAGAATACATAAAGAAGTTTTATAATTCAGTAAGAAGACAAACAACCCAATATGAAGAAAGGCAAATTATTTAAACAGACTCTTCACCAGAGAAGATATGTGGACGGTAAATAAGTACATGAACAGATGCCCAGCACCACTCAGGAAGGGCGGACGAGAGCCTCGGGGAGGCTGCCCCACAGCCTGTCAGAGAGCTGGCCAGGAGGCGCCATTCGGGAAGGAGGCAGAGGAGCTGAGGCCCGTGAGCGGCTGCTGGGAACACAGATGGCACAAAGGCTTTGGAGATCAGCTTGGCGGTTCCCTGAAAGTAACTCGCATGTGCTGTAGAAGTCGAAAACCCCACTCCACACAAAGCCTTGTAAGTAAACGTTCACGGCAGCTTTCCTTGTAACGGCCCAAACCTGGAAGCACCTGATGCCTGTCCACAGGTGACTGAACAAAGCGGTGCATCCGAACGCTGCAGCTCCGCTCGCTGTAACCAGGAGCACACTCGATGCACACAAGCAGCAGGTGAATCTCAAGATCATGCCCAACAGAATGGTGTATGATTCCATTTATAGAAAATTCCAGAAACACAAGGCAGGCTACCGGACAGAGCACATCAGGGCTGCCTGGACAGAGGTGAAGGCAGGAACGGCACACAGGGCACTCTGGCTAGGATTCGAGTGTCGGTGATCTTGATTTCGGTGATGTTCCATGTGCTTACACGTGTCAAACCTGACCAGTGCATCTACACATGCACAGTTCCATCTCCTTCAGTTACAGCCCAGTGAGGAGAAAAGTGCAAGCAACGAACACCTCCAGGAGCTATGGTGCCAGCCCTGGAGAGCAATCAGACCCCCACGAGGTTTGGCCTCCAGTTTCCCTAGAACACGTCCCTAGAGAGGTGTTCTGCTCACAAGCACACGGCCGGCAGCTCCCCTGGGGCAGATGGACACACAGACATGCCTGGTGGCCGCTTCCCTGCACCTGGCACGCAGAGCCAGGTGGAGTGGGTGTGCTGGCCCATGTATTGGCAAACATCCAGCGACTGTTCAAGTTACCCCAGGGTCTCTCATCGCCGACCCCCCACCCAGTCCCCAAGCTTAAATGCCCAACACCCTCTCAAACCAGTGAGGAAGAAACCGATTGTCAACAGTGTTAGGAATAAGCAGTGGTCATGGGAAAAGAAGAGACAGATTCAGGCCCTAACCACAAACCAGGAAAAATTCCAAGTGCTTGAAAGTTTAAAATATGTATTAGGGACCCATAAAAGTTTACAGAAAATACTGGAAATTCCCTCATAAGCTTATAGCAGGGAGATCTTCTGAACTGCGATGTAAGATTAATTAGCTACCAGGGAAACGGTTAATAAATCCAACCTCATAAAAATTAATTTTTCCGCATAGCAAAGAACATGATAAGTAAAATCAAAACCGGAGGAAAGTGTTTGACACAGATTCAAGAACTAGTGTGTCTAGTATAGAACTAGCTCCTAAGACTCAAGAAGCACAAAACACAAACAATCTGATAGAGAAATGAGCAAAAGTGATCAACGTAGTTTGGAGAAAAGGAAATCCAGATGGTGTTCTAACCTGACTTACGGGAAGAACACAAATTAAAATGCCCAAAGTCTGAAATGCAGCATGTGCACAGGGCAGGAAGGAGGCCTGTTCCAGCAGAGACGAGCATGCTCAGAATGCTGGGGAGCTGGTGGTGCCCTTCACAGTCCCCAGGGCCCACACCCTCGGACAGAGCAGCCCCGCGGCCAGGAAAGCTGCCCGGGCGGGGCCTGACTCACCCTCTTGCAAGGCAATGACCAGCTGCTGTTCCGTGGGTGCTGGCAGGAGGCATGAGTCTCCCATTACTCACCCCACGGCAGGCAGCGTGCCCCTCCGCGTGTCTGCGTCATTTACCACGTCCCCGAGTCCCGTGGGAGCGACCCAGACGGGCCCCAGGCAGGTGCTGCTGTGTAGGGTCTGCGGCTGGGGAAGCCCAGCTCGGAGAGTCCACCACTTGCATAGTGAGCAGTAAGCAAGCTGCCCGAAGGGAGAGTCCACCTCTTTCCCCAAGTTTGCTCACTCCAAACACAACCCTGAGAGGCAGCCCAGGGAAGGGCGGCGCCAACAGGAACATGCCAGGATGTGTGGCGCCCACAGCGGACTGCTGTCCAACGGTGAGCACGCATGCAAAATGACGCAGGAGGTTCTGGGCGCCACAGGGCGGGCACAGGTGTGCACCCAGACGGAAGGACATCTGTGCAGACGCCGTCACTCTGAACGGATGTGTGTCCACACCTGCTGCTTTATGCAGGAGCCTCTCAGGACAGGCTCACTGGAAACTATTCAAGTGGATGCCAGTGACTGGGCAGGAGGGACCTGCTGGGGGTCTGAGTTTTGAATCAGATGAACATGAGACTTCTTTAAAACGTCAATAAATAAAATGAATTACTTTGTAATAAATGCCTCAAAAACTCATTATCTCAGACCCTGTTATTGGAACAAAAACATAATAAAAGCAGGAAAGTTAGCTCCCTTGCCCCAGATGGCCCAGCACACAGAACATGGTGCACACAGATGTGTCCTGAGGATCTTCTTTCCTCACTCAACATGACAGTGTGTTCACCAGCACAAATCCTGTCCGGCACACACAAGCAGGACTGTGTTCCACCAGAGTGGTCCGCCTGACCCTGGACCCAGTCATGGAAACCCCCAGCCTTCCACCTCGTCAGGGACGCGCTCAGCGTTCTCCTGCCCCACTCTTCACCCACACAGCTGGGGAGGCCCACGGCTGACTCAGGTGACAAACTCACTTTCCAAAGTCCAACCTCTCAAGCCTCTGCTGTCTACCCTCAGGTGGTGGTGGTGGCCACATTCCTGCAGACCTATCAGACTCCTGTAGCCACCAGGGGCCAGGAGGGCAGCCGGGGTCACAGAAACACAGACCCACCTACAGACAGCACTGCTGGTGTGCATCCCACACACAGAGCCTTGTATTCATGTACTCACACTCACTCAGAGCTGTATTACACACACACACACACACCCCTAGAAGCCCAGCCGACAGTGGAACATGCTGTAGGACCCCCACTGGAGGAGCAAGAGACAGCCCCGGGGCACAGCGGGGTAGCTCCAAACCCCCATAATTCCCGCCACCACCGCAGACTTCACACCTGAGTGATCTGAATGCCCCTGGGCCAGTAGAGGGACTGTGTCCAGGGCGTGAGGGCCACCGGTTCCCCTCCCTACTCTGTAAACCTCCTGGAGGCCCCCAGGCAGGGGGAACAAGCCGTGCGCTGTGTCCATCACGTGTGGCAAAGCTCGCAAATGGGCTGTGGTGTGTCCTCGTGAAGACAGACTTTCACCAGGGCAGAGAGGGGCTCTGGTGCTCACTAAAAATCATGGTGACGTTTCAGGCCCCCGTGTTGACTTCTGGCCCAAAGGTGTCACTCGGCTCTGACCACGCCTTCTAATCAAAGTTAGGAAAGCAGCCCAAAGCTATTAACAAAAGCTACAGTGGGCTTCCAGCTCTGCAGCTCACCTGCAGCCCCAGACCCTGGTTCTGCTGCTATGGCTGCAAGTCCCCCTACCCATCAGGAAGACACAGCAAAGCCTCTCCCTCACCCACTTCGTTCTGAAAATTCACTCCTTTTGATGAAAATACAAGAACCTCCCCTTCAACATGAACAATCAGCAAAAACAGAAGACGTGATACTTTACTGTTTCTGAACCGGCTTTCTTCTTTTCCTTCCAGCATACGTGCACTCCCCTGGTGGGATCATCATCTCTGGCCCTACAAGAGAAAGGGAGCATAAAGTTGGTGATGTTGAAGGGCCCCCAGTGTCCACATGACTCCCCAGACCACCAAAGGCAGCAGTGTCAGCTAAGGTCTGCTGTGCTAATCAAGGAGTCCACAGTGACCCCACACTGGGGTCCCACTCCTCCATCACAAACTGATGACCCACTGAGCCTGCCAGTGTGAACCACTCACACCCTGTTTCACTCAGCAGGAAGATGCCAAAGGGCCCAGTGAGGACACACAGCCCTGGCCGTGACATCTCCCCTTTGACCATCAGCGTCATAGTCCCCAAGCCTGACCTGAGGACCCGAGTCACTACACTCGTATAGAGAACAGCCCTGTGCTCTTGCAGTTGGTTCAGAAAGTTTACGGTAGATAAATGTCCTGAGCCTGTCCTCAGAAAATAGAAGCCATTCCATGGCATCCATGAGCAGGACACACAGCTAAGGTACCAAAGAGCAGTTTGCTGCGTCAGGGTTCTCATGGGGCTGTTCCTCTGGCAGGGGCTGCATGTGTCCTCTCTTGGTGGTGTTTGTGGTGGGTCTTCTTCCTCTTCCCAACCCTCCCCTTTATGGCCCTGTGCTTCTGAGCCAACAGGCTTCCTCTTTTGTGTGTAAAATCTCCCACTCAATTCCGCAGCACTGGACTTCTACTTTAGCCACTAACTCGCAGCTGCACCAAGCCCAGCTGAACATACCCACCAGCCTCCCCCAGCAGTGCCGGACATGGCGCCTGTATCCAAGAGGAGGTCCCCAAGGAGTAGCCAAGGATCTGTGCCCTGAGGCTGGTCGGCTCACCCATCACCACTTTTGGATGCACCAAAATCTTGATTTTTCCATGCAGTGAGCCCTCACAAACATCCTGTTTGTGTATATGAGTCCTGTTGGGGTATATGAGCCCTCACAAACATCCTGCAGACCCATGTGCTGTGACCACTCATTGCCAGGCACTGGGCTAACAGACTTGGAGCGGAGCTTAGGAGCCCTTACCTAGTCTCAAGAAGAGGTGTGTGTGTGAAGTGAAATATGTCACGAACGTGCTTTAAATATAAGAAACACACTTTGAATATAAAGACATAAGTAGGTAAAGCAAGTGGACACGAAAATATACGCCATGCAAATAGTAATCAAAAGAAGCTGGGCTAGTTACGTGGGTATCAGACAAAGTAGACTTAAGAAAAAGGAATAAAACCAGGGACAACAACATTCCTTTCTTGGTAATCAATAGAACAAGTAAACCAAAAATCAGGAAGGATTTAGAATATCCAAACAATAACAGACTTGAACTGATTGACATTTATAGAACACTCCACTCAACAACAGCAGAATACGCATCTTTGGCACATGGAACATTCATCAAGATAGACCAAATTCTGGGACTTTAGAACAATCATCAACAAATTTAAAAGAATAGAAATCATACAAAGTATGTTTTGTGACAATGATGGGATTAAACTAGAAAGATACATGGAAAATGTCCAGATATTTGGAAAGCAACCCACTTCTAAATAACGACGGGTAGAAGAGAAAGTCTCAAAGAAATTTAAAGTACTTTGAACTGAATGAAAATGAAAACACAACATATCAGATTTTGTGGGACATAGCTGACCAATACTGTGATGGAAACTGATATTATTAAGCATTTATATTAGAAAAAAATAAAAGATCTCAAATAATCTAAGCTTCCACTTTAAATAACTAGAAAAAGAGAAAATCCAAATCAAGCAGAAAGGTGGAAATAATAAAGAAGAAAAATCAATGAAACTTAGAAAAACAGAGAAAAATCAATGAACCAAAAGTTGGTTCTATGAGAAGATCAACAAAATTGATAAACCTCTAGCCAGACTGATCAAGAAATAGAGAAGACACAAATGACTAATATCAGGAATGAAAGAGGGGTCATCACTACAGATCCCACAGATATTAGAAAGAAAATAAGAGTATACAACTATGAACTCACCTGTTTTTCCCCACTCAAAATCCATATATTGAAGCCCTAATCTTCCATTGGAGGTGGGGCCTTGAAGGAAGTGATTAAGGTTAAATGAGGTCAGAAAAGCAGAGCCCTGATCTATTAGAACAGTTGCCCTTATAAGAAGAGGAAGAGACACCAGGGCTCTCTCTTCACCATGTGTACAGAGGCATTGCAAACCAAGAAGAGAGCTCTCACTGGAAACCAAATCAGTAGTGTTGGGGAAGGTCATCGAGAAGACATGACCACCAGTTGACCTGTGAGCTGGACCCAGGTACTAGGAAGCTCTTCACCGCCCCCCTCCCCACTCTCCTTGGTTGTGGGCTCCACTCATCTTTCCGGCTCCCAGCGGCTGCTCCAAGGACATAGCCTTGGGATGTGCGCGATATACATGACTGAGCCTAGTTGAGGCCTCTTTATAGACTTTTAAGAGATGGCCAGTGGGTACTGGATCCACTCATCTTTCTGCCACCTAAGACAAGCCTTTGTATGTAATTTCTCTTGGCTTATTCAAACTGTCACCTACCAACCTGGAGTGGCCGCCTCTTTCTTGGTCTCTCCCTGCCCTCCACAAACAGGGGCCAGTTTCAGATCACACCTGGGAAGCTCCTGAGGAACTTGCAAAACCGACAAGCAGGCACCTGGATCTTGGACTTCCAGCCTCCAAAACTATGAGAAATAAATGTCTGTTGTTTAAGCCCCCAGTATGGGCTTTTGTTGTGGTAGCCCAAGCAGACGGAGACAAATACTATCCCCACAAATCCAATAGTTTAGATGAAATGGACAAATTCCTTGAAAGACACAAACTACCAAATTCACTCAGGAAAACAACTGTTTGGTCCTATTTGTTTTTCAACAATAAAAAACAAAACAAAACAAAAAAACACCTAGGCCCAGATGGTTTCACTGGTAAATTCTACCAATTTAAAAAAATAATAATAATACCGATTCTCTGAAACCTCTGGCAGAAAACTGAAAATAAAATTGAAAATTGACAACTCATTTATAAGTTCAGCATCACCCTGATACAAAAACCAGACATTTCAAGAAAACTACGGACTGATATCCCCCATGAACATAGACACAAACATCCTCAATCAGACATTTACAAGTAGGATCCAGCAATACAAATAGGGCAAAACATCACCGCAAGTGAGGTTTATCCAGGAATTCAAGGCTGCTTCAACATCCAAAAATTGGTCATTGCAATTCACTACATTAATAAACTAACGAAAAAAATACAATGACCATCTCCTACATGCAAAAAAGTATCTGACAAAAAAAGTATTTGAAGGGAGCTTAATTACCCTGATAAAGGGCATCTACAGAAATGCCTACACTAGCGTCACACCTAACAGTGAAGACCGAGCTCCTCCCCTGGATCACAGACCCTGCATCCCCCTTCCCACTCAGCACCACATGTCAGGGCAATAAGATGAAGAAAAGCAATGCCATAATGTTGGGGAAGAGACAGAACTCTGCTCACAGACAACATGATTGTACATAGAGAAAATCCAGGAAAGTTTACTAAGACAAATCTCTTATAATAATTGAGTTCAGCAAGGTCAAAGGGTAAAAGGACAATATACAAAAGTCCAGTGTTTCTGTAGACTAGCCATGAACAATCAGAACACAGACTTTTTAAAAGCAGAACCGTTTACAATAGCACCAAAATAAAAATGAAATACTTCAGTATTTCAAGAGGTTTACTATGTGTATAACTGGGGCTCCAAAGAATAGGAGATGAGAGAAAAAAATTAATAAATAGTAGAGATTTGTCCAAACATAACGAAAACTGTAAACTTACAGATTTAAGAAGATCAATAAATGGCAAGTTTAAATTACAGCAAGGCCACACGTACTCGGATTGCTCATAAGCAGGGATCTACAGAACGATCTTAAATGCCCCCGACAGCCACTGGTGCAGAGAAGCAAGGGCAAGCATGAGAGCAGACACCTCATCGGCAAAGTGAGAGACGACACACCCCATGCACACAGCGTTCAAAACTGAAGGCTGGAGGTTTTCTCAGACACACAAAAGCTGAAAGAATTGCTCACCAGCTGACCCACACTGTACGAAATGCGAAAGGGTGTCTTCAGGCCAAAGGAAAATGATACCAGATGGTAACAGGGATCCACAAAATGGAATAGGAGGCACAGGAAACAGAACTGCTGGGTATACACCCAAGGTCTGCTCTTCCAGTTTGAATGTCTTTAGAAGATAGTTGTTTAAACAACAATGATAACCATGTATCGTGGGGTTTGTAACATATGCAGAGGTCAGGGGTATGGCAAGCGCAGCACCTCGGCCAGGACAGGGGGATGGATGCAAGGTGGAAGGTTCCTGCACATTCACGAAGTGGTGTAATGGCACTCAAAAGTTGTGCCAAGTACCCATTTATTGCCTCTAGGCTCCAAATCCACCCCTCCTTGGGAGCTCTGCATGAACGCAAGCCTCTCTTCTTTATAGCACACGGTGTGGTGCCTGCCGGCAGAGGGCCCGGGAGGGACTTGGCAGGAGTAAGAAGCTTCTGATCCCAGGGCTTCAGAGTTTAATTTGTTCCTGCTCACCACCACCAGAGGCCGAGAAACTCAGTGACCTTCTCCACCAACCAGGGGGCTGAACCATACCCTCTCCAAAGAGGCCTGAACCCCAGCTTTGGGGATGGATCCCCATTTCTAATTGCACTCTTCTGACATGTTCCGCCAGCCCCGGAGTACCCTTCAGAGTCTTCTTTTCACCTTTATGGTCAATCCACTGTGGTAGTTAATTCTTCCTCATAAAAGTCTCTCAACTCAAACCAAAAATTAAGCTAAAAATAGAAAAAGCGGTTTTTTAAGTCCACATATTTCAGAGTTATGAACTAAAAAATGACACATCAGGGATTTGTTCCTACGTAATCTGGGGAGTAGAATGGAGTCTAAATGAAACTGGATCATTTCATATTGATAGCTGCCCATCTATGCTGGTTGATGAATAAGTTGGGCTCATTATAAAATTCTCTTCACTTTTGTTAAAGATTTGAAATCTTCCATAACAAGTTTTTTTTAAAAAAAGCATTAAAAAGAGGCAAATTGTGGCATGAGAATAGACACACTATGATGCCAAGGCCATTCGATGGGGAAAGAAGAATGTCATCAAACGGACAAACGGATGTCCACATGCAAGAGAATGAGATTGTTCCCTGCTTCACACCGTATGAAAAAATTAACCAAAATTAGTTAAAGACCTAAGTGTAAGAGGTAAAATTATAAAACCCTCAAGGAAAACACGGGGCTATATCTTCATGGCCTTAAATTTGGCAACAGATTCTTAGATATGTCACCAAAGGCACAAATAAGAAAATTAAAAAAAAAAATCAGACTTCATCAAATTTAAGAACTGTGCTTCAGAGGACACCATCCAGTCACAGAATAGGAGAAAACATTTGCAAATTATGCATCTGATAAGTCTACTATTCAGGACATGTAAAGAATTCTTACAACTCAACAACAACAAAAAGACAAACAGCCCAATTAAAAACGGGCAAAGGACTTGAACAGACATTTCTCCAAAGAAAATATACAGTCAACAGACACATGGAAATGCTTCACGTCAGTAATCACTAGGGAAATGTAATCAAACCCACAATGAGAGAGCATTTCACACCCACCAGGATGGCCATCAACAAAACAAAGGAAAACGACAAGTGTTGGTGAGGATGTAAAGCTGGGACCTTTGGCGCTGGGACCTGGGACCTGGGACCTGGGACCTGGGACGTGTGGCAGATCCTCAAAGAGTTAGACACAGAGGCACCCCAGCAATTCCACTTCTGGGTCATGTATGCCCAGGAGAACTGAAAACATACATTCAAACAGAATCTGGCACACAAACATGCATAGCATCATTATTCACAACAGCCAAAAAGGGTAGACAACCCCAAAGCCCGTCAACTGGTGAACTGGTAAACAAAGTGTGGTCTGTGCCCACAGCGGAGTATTTCTCAGCCGTGAGAAGGAACGGGCTCTGATGCACACTGCCACAGGAAGGAGCCTCGAAGACATGCCACATGCAAGAAGGCAGACACCAGAGCTCCCCTGTTGGTTCCATACATATGAAATGACCGGAAGAGGCAAGTGCATAGACAGAAAGTAGATCAGTGGTTGCCAGGGCCGGGGAGGAAGGAATGGGGAATGGCTGTTTCATGGGCAGAGAGCTTCTGTCTGGGGTGAAGAAAATGTTTTGGAAGTAAGCAGAGGTGGTAGGTGCCCAACATTGGTGATATACTAAATAAATGTACCGAATGGTACATTTTTAAGTGGTTAATTTTAGCTTATGTGAATTTTATCTCAATGAAAAGCACAGAACACAGATGTATATATAAATAAAGGTGAGGATTCTGGAGTGGTGAGAAAGAGAGAATAGCAGGGGAGAAGTGGATGGAGCAGACTGAAAATGTCTGAGGGCATTCTGCACAGAGGGAGCAGACAGCGGGTGGTAGCTGCAGGGGCCTGGGGGGTAGAGGCGGGTTTCTGAGCTGACGGGGATGGTGTGAATAATGATGCTATGAGTGTTTGTGTGCCAAATTCTGTCTGAATGTATGTTTTCAGTTCTCCTGGGCACACACCCAGGAGTCAAGAACAGGAGAGTTCAGGAGCATGTGCAGGGATGCGACCTGGGGGCCGCAGGCTGGAGCAGGAATCGATGGATGGATGCTTCTGCCTTCTCAGCCTCGTCCTGGGATATGGCCACCACACCTGCACTTCTCTGGGAAGCCAGGTTGGACCCTCAGTGGCTGGAGGCCAGCGTGCAAAGCCATCCCAGGCCTGGCCCCAGCCTAGGCCAGGGAAGCTTCCCTGCACCCAGCAACCTACAGTCACCCATGAGGTCAAAGGTCTTCGAAGGAGATCCCGTCCCCAGCACTACCATTCCCCGAATGAGCCCTGAGCCTGGAGCAGGGATGGTGTGGGGTTGGGGGAGATGACAGAGAAGATGAGGAGGGGGCCAGGGACACTCCCATGCAGGGTGGTGCTGACCCCTCACTATCCTTCACCCAAAGCTCTGTTCCTCCAAGCAGGAGCGGGGACAGGACCTAGGCTCCAAGGCAGGCCTCGCACACTGTCTGCCTGCCCACAAAGCCATGTTCTCCCTTGGTGTCTCCATCTCAGTGCCCAGAACAACCCTAAAAACACAGGTTATGGTAAAAAAAAGCACCAAGGGCAGATAAATCCTCTCCAGGTACCCCCCCACAGAGGTGTGTGTGGAAGAGATCAAAGGAGCTGCCCATCAACCCCCAACACACCACCACAGACCTCGTTGAAAAACCACAGTTTGGGGGTCCATCTGTGCTGAGGTTTCTGCCCTGGGAATCCTATATATATATAGGATATATAGGTGGATATTATGGCATTCAGATTACTCCATTTTACTAAATACCTGTTCATTCTCCTCAAAAAGATGAAGCCTCCACTGGATTAGACCGAACTCCTTGAAGAAATGCCCCTCAGAGGCAGGACACAGGTCTCTGCCTCAGATGCAGGTGGCAGACACCTTGTTGGGAAGTGGGGGCAGGAGACCCTCGCCACTGGGCTCCTGTGGCCTGTGGCTGGCCTGGGCCAGGGTCTCTCCTGCAACCATGGACTGTGCTGGGGTGGGAGGCAGACAGGGGCCTGGGCACCAGAGGGGAACATGCAGGTGTGAGCTGGGCCCAACAGGGTGGTTTGTGGGCCTCCCATCCCTGCTAAGCACTAAGTTGACTGGGTTTCTCAGAGAAACCTGAGCTTTTATATAAGAATCTTTCTCTAAGGGCTCCTGGGTGGTTCAGTTGGTTAAGCATCTGACTCTTGATCTCAGCTCAGGTCTTGATCTCAGGGTCAAGATCTCAGGATCACGCAGCTCCACGCTGGGCTTAGAGCATCTTTTCACGGGCACGCGCTGCTGTGGGAGCACACCAGGACTCTGAGTCCAAACTCCAGCAGTTACCACCTCAAAGTCCTTATGCGTAAACGAGGTGAATGGCAGCCACGGGCTGCTGGAGGGCTGCAGGAGATGACGCAGCTTCCCACGTCAGGGCTGCACTGCATGCCAGCCACTCACCATGAGGGGGTACAGTCTGCACGTCACCACGGGGTCTCCTCCTAATGGCTGGTGCTAGGACCGCCACCGTGATGGGACCCCCTCCCAGGAGCCTGCAGAAGCCAGGCATTATCCCTAATGGCGGACCCTGGGTGGAGGTTGTCCAGGCTTAAGGGCCTGCCTCTACCAGAGACCCCCTGGAGAGCGTCCATGCTGAGTCAGCTGCTGACCAGGCCAGAAATCCAGGTCCACAACTTTCAAGGACCCAGAGCTTGGGGACAGATGTCCCAGGCACACACTCAAGCCCTGAGCCCCTCAAGGACCAGCTGTGGCTGGTCAAACAGAGGCCATGTGTAAGTCTAGGGGCTACCCACCCCCAACGCTATGATGATGCCTGGGGCAGCCAAAGCTGAGGGCCCGTTGGACACTTCCAAAGAGGGAAGATGCGCCCAGCACCAACCCCTGGAAAGAGACAGACGGAAGGACCCACGAAAGAGTTGACTCTGACGCTGACCAGTCGCCTGCCCCTGTGAGCTGCCCCTTCCCTAATGGGAGTCACAGTGGGAACACCAGGGTCGGCAAGTCACTGAGGGTCTGTGCCACTCACAGAGTAGCCACAATCTGGGATTTGGGGCCACTCAGATTAAGACTTCTGTGGGGAAAACAAACAAACAAACACAAAACTTTCTTGGTGCCGCTAACTGAAACCGAGTGAATTCCTGGAACACGGGCCCTTCCGCCCTTCCCAAGTGTGAGAACCAAGCCTGGGGCTCCCTGCCCGGAAGGAGGGCGCCAGGCTGTGCCGCCCAAGCTCTGGGGCCCCCGCTCCCGCAATCCTCCACCGGCTGCCCTGGGGAAGGCTCGGGGGGCCAGTGCAAAGCCCTCGCCGGCATCCGCCCAAGAGCTTCTGAAAGAAACGGGACCTAGAACAAAATTAGCCCAACTGCCCCAAGGCGGTGGGTCACAGGCAGAAGCTTGTGGAGAAGGGAGAAGCTGAGGGGCCATGAGCAGTGCGAGTGGACCGGCTTCCCTCAAAGACCCTGTTTTTATCTTTAGGTGAGAAACCACCCGCCGGACCCCAGGGCCTTGCGTCAGGATGGGTGGGAGGAGGGCTCCGCACGAGGGTCTCGATGGCGGAGCGGGGCCGGCGGAGCGCGCCCGGGGCACTTACCCGGGGCGGCGGGGCGCGGAGGCTCAGGCGCACCCGCGGGAGGAGCC